AAAAGAAAAGAAAAAGAAAAATTAGCTTTAGGCACTTAACCTGTTTACTCATTATCTATGTTTGTCAACTAGAGAATATCTGAGGACTAAAACCAAAACCTCTCATTTCTCCTCCATTCTTTATAGAAAGCTTTCTGGTTAAGTAACTAAAATGCTAATTTACTTCGAACAAGAGTGAATCAATTCCTAAGGAGGCTGAAAAGAATGACGTCTGAGGTCCCAATTAGCACTAGGAAGGCTCAACTAACTAGATGATATGGCTCTGTAGAGTAGGTGCAACTTGCATTGCCATTCCAGTAGGAGGAGTATGTTCCCAAGAAATCAATGGTCTTCAGTACCCAAATCAGAAATAGGTTCTCTGAATTTCATCGTGGGAACCTATTATCATAGCAAACAAAAAAAAAGTACCTTTCTTTTCTGAATCAAAATTACAAGATTTCTAAAATTCCTTAATCACTCAAAAAGCCCACATAAACAAATTCCTTCAGGGAAGAGTTAAAAAAGATAGACCTAAGAAAAGTCTTAAAACTGCTTATTAGTCAGGTTCCCTGCTAGAACAAGTAGTCTGCTTTGCATAAACCCAGCCTGACATGTAAAAGCCTTTCAGCAATTAGGTTTCTTGTTTCCTAATAATGCACTAAAAGTAATTATATGTTTTAAATCTCTTCCTTTCATCTCCTTCAAGTATATCCTTATATATAGATTGTACCTCACAATTTTAAAAGTAATATTAACTAATCATTTCAATTTATTCCATTTTAAGTATGCACATGTCAATGTCTGAGAGTCAACCTTGTGTTTCTTTTCCACGCAAACCTTACAAGTAACTTTCCTACCAACAAATCAGTTGACCACTCATACTAGTCACTAGCAAAAAACAAGAGCAAACTCCTTTGTTTTAAACCTATATTTACACTTATCCCAGTATGAAGACCTCAGAATTTCAGTTCATTTTAGTAATGATTAAAATTAAAAAGTGGGCTGGGAAGGTGGCTCAGTGGTAGCATGCTTGCCTTGCATGCATGAGGCCCTGGGTTCGATTCCTCAGTACCACATAAGCAGAAAAAGCCAGAAGTGGTGCTATGGCTCAAGTGGTAGAGTGCTAGCCTTGAGCTGAAGAGCTGAGGGACAGTACCCAGGCCCAGAGTTCAAGCCCCACACCTGACAAAAAAAAAAAATTAAAAAGCAAATAAAACAGAAGAGCATCACTTTTTTGTAGAGATCATCAAACACTATTAAAAAAAATACAATGAATGGGAAGGGGGAACGGGGAGACTAGAAGACAACCAATACCTAATTTCTTTTGTCTACAGGACCACATTTATTATGCACAGAACACTCTATTTAGTACTACAATGAAGTTGAGAAAACAAATAATGACACCTTTCATATGAAAAAATTTACCATCTCATTCTAGAAAGAGAACATCTTATGTAACAACTGAACATTCATCCCAAACAAATACACATATTGCTCAAAGTGGTTAGCAGAAAAACCAAAGA